TATTTCATGCAAACAATAGAAACCACCATCAACCAATAGAATAATTTAATGATTTTCTCTTTATTTTTAATAAATAAGGGTATGAATGTTATTTTACTTTGTAATAGATAATCTTGGTAATGTTTTAATTGTTTTTAAATATGAAAGATTAAATAAGGTAACTGTTTTTAAGGAATATGTAAATCAATTGATTTTAATATATAATTATTGCCATTAATATTTTATATTCTTTTGATTTTAATATATAATTATTACCATGAATATTTTATATTCTTTTATTAAATTAAAAATACTACATCAATTATAAAGTCTATTTGTAATAATTTATTTGTTATGAAATTATTTATTTCATTGTCATAATAACAAAAGAATCTATTTGCAAAAATACTACATCAAAATGTTTCAAAAATGAAACTAATTTCATTTTGGTTAGGAACCATGAAATTACTTTCATTAATGAAATAATTGTATTTTGGTCTTGAAATGTTTCATTGACTGAAACATATTTGGTTTCATTAAAGAAATCAATTTCATCTTGGCTATAAACCATGAAACCGATTCCATTTTGGTTAGGAAACATGAAACAAATTTAAAAATGAATGAAATATTATTATTCAGTTCTTGAAGTGTTTCATTGAATGAACGATATTTAGTTTAATATGTAAAACCGAGTTCATCTTGGTTAGAAACCATGAAACTGATTCCATTTTGGTTAGAAACCATGAAACCGATTCCATTTTGGTTGTGAAACATTTCAACAAATTTCACTGCTGAAACAATGTCATTCATTTTTTGGAATTGTGGAGTCCATGAAACCAATTTCAATGATAAAACGAATTTCATTAAAGAAAAAACATGTTATTCAGATTTTTGTAAAATGTTTCATTGACTAAACCGTATCTGGTTAAAATTTCATTATGTAGACGAACAATGAAACTAATTTCACTAATGAAAAAATGAGATACACTTTCCAAAATGTTCTTAATGATGAAACCAATTTCACTAATAAAATCGTATTACTTTTTAAAATGAGATACAATTTCCAAAATGTTTCCAAAATGATCGAACAATATGGCTGAAAGTTAAAAATGGTTTGCCAATTTTGCTATTTCTTGATTAAATAAAAACTTTTTATTTTATTTTATTTTTTTACTTTTCAAATATAATACATTTTAATCATGACCATTGATAAAAAAAAATGAATGAATAAGATTGGTTTGTAGAATTTGCACAAAAAGAATGGTTTGCATTTGATTGCTCTCTCTCTCTCTCTCTCTCTCTCTATATATATATATATATATATATATCAAAAGAAACAAAGGATATGATAAAACAACTTCATATCAAATGTAATTAATATTTTAATATCTAATATGTGATCATCAATCATTTATTTTTAATATATATATTTTTTAAATTATCGTCACCAAGCAAAGCACGATTTCAAAAAATAGTGTTTGATAAACAATTCATAAAGTGACACATAATCAATAATTAATTCTATATTTTTTAGGAAGGGTAAAATGCGCAAAATAACGACCTACTTTTACAAATTTCTTTATTATAGCATTCTACTTTCACTTTTTCTTATTACAGCAATGTACTTTCAAAATATTTTTTATTAGGACATTGTACTTTCAAAAATTTACCCGTTATAGCATTGGGTAACCTGCTACCTTTTGAACAGGTTTTTCTTTGTTGACATGTCAAATTTAAAATGACATGGAAACCATGTATGAGAACCTATGACACATGGATATCTTACATGTCATTTAAAAAGAAAATTTTAATTTAAAAACAATTTTTGAAAATGAAAAACGCTCAATCTCTCTCATTGTTCAGACTGTT